ACGTGAAATCTTGTGTAAAAATAGTTGCATTGTAATTGTAATTTCCGAAGAAACTAATTATTTAGGATAATTTATGCAAGTCAAAGCTTGTTTGAAAATTGGAGGGAACAGGATTGATGAAACACGTGGAATTTAATATACAAGTACAGTACGTATTTATATTGAACTATGTTAAAACATTTATTTTTAAATAAACAAAAATAGCGAGTTTATTATATATTTGTACAAGAAAAGACAAATGTGTAGACAAAATTTTGGAATAATTGATGACAGAAGAGAACAGTGTTAGGAGTACATTGTGAAGTTTGGTTGCAATGGTTTAGAGTGTGAATTGTGTATTGAACTGTGTGTGATGCATCCGATTACTCACTCGATCGAGTTACTTCCATTTTTTTAACCTCGTCAGTTGTTTATCCACATATTCCACATCCACCAACAGCAAACATTTCTGAGTTTCTATTTTACATACCCGGAACTGAGCTTAAACATGGATCAATAATTATAGAAGATCACAAAAATTCGATGAAAATGGTCCTGCGAGCGACACCTAATGGGAAGTCCGTGAATTAAAAATTCTTCTACGGGACACATGTGCAGTAATCTCTCCATTCAAGAACCGTATTCGGAGGCAACGAGGTTCTTGAATTGAGAGAATGTAACGAATTACTGTGCTCCGATTGGCTGACGATTCACAGCTGAACAGTGCTGCCCTCGTAGTCAATGACGAAGAAAGGAAATAGCGAGTGAGCAAAACAACACGACATCAGCACAACACATGCGAAACGAGTCGCACCGACAACCAAAATAGCTTGTCTCACTTTACCGTGCTTGCGATCTCACTCTTTTAGCGCATCCGTACGGCTGGCGCCTCCATCTGAAACACGCGGCGCGATATTCGACTTGAACTTTTCGCCTCGTCGGATTCTCGACCACATTTGCCAGCGAATTTGTGAACGATGCTCAATGCATGTATGTCATTCAAAAGAAAATAATCAGTGGAGTTATGCTATTTGGACATACGTTCGACGACAATACGGAGGCCACATGCTTCGACTCGACGGAGAATTGACAATAAACGTTTGTTGCGATTGTTAACCCTCTATGGGCCCATGTAACTTTCAAGTCACAAGCTAATATATCCACATTTTATCAAATAGTTTTAGTCTTTTTTCACAAGATGATGTATACGTCTTAATTATATAATGCCTCTGAAATAACCAATAACAAGATTGATGACGGTTGGCAGCACCGTCAACCTGAAATGTCAAAATAAATACCTTATAAGTTGTCTGTAGATAGAAACCAAAGGGACCATCTTGTGCAATTGGGATTATTTGTGCTCTTGTCGGTGTTTACTAAATAAAAAAAAAGCGTATATAATAGCTCTGGGTTCGTATATCAATAACAATTTATTTATTTGCTTTTCAATAATCATTTTGTTACTATTTGTATATGATACAGTTTTGTAACTTTCAGGTTACATTGGGATATTGTGG